ATCGGAGGACTGAACTTAAGTCCTTCCATAGGTCCAAGGACTTCCTAAAGAGCTTGTTAGCTTCCTAAGGTCAAAAAGTCTAAACCCAATTCATTGGTTTCATTTTTGATAATAGTTCATGACTAAAGTATAAAAAGATTGTAAAGGAAATTAGAGTGCAGGTACAGTATTTATTACAGGTAAGAAGGCATCCTGGTTTCAGATGACTGATCTACGAATTTCTGCATTATTGGAGAGAAAATAAAATATAATGTTTCAAAGAAATATACAGTATAATTGATATAAAATGATGTCCTTCAGAGAAGTCATATATATCTGGCTATACAGCTTAAGAAGAACAGAGCGTTCGAGGCTGCGTACGGACTAGTTCTTTCTCACCATTCCAGGCTCATTTCTCCTAACTCAACTTCTTAGCAACAATAATTAGTTTATGGGTCACTGCACAAAATGCATTATTCCTTAAGGCCCCTTCAGCCTTGAATTCTTCCCTCAACTCCCTAGTCTCACCTTATCTTTCAGATCTCCGTCCAGGCATTGCCTTCTCCAGGAAGCTAACATACCTGACCTCTCCCTGCGTGCTCCTTAAGAATGATGATGAAAACCAGAGGTAACACTTCAAATATTTCATCTGGGCCAGCTGTGTTCTAACTCAACTAAATACAGTATCAACTCCTTTTCACAACAATCCTATGAAGTAAGTATTAATAATATCCCCATCTTATAGATAAGACACTGAGGCACAAAGAGGTTAAGAAACCTACCCAAGGACACATCGCAAGTGAGTGGTAAAGCCAATATATGAACCCAAGACTAGTTCCAGTCTATGCTCTAATGACTAGCGTATATTTCCTCCGTGTGATTAAAAACAAGCCTGATTCTGGGTGCTGCTTCGTATATGATGCTCCCGACTCTCTCGTTCAGTATTTGTGTTCAATGAGCTGCTGGGTTTGGATATACATTTCTCTATAAATACTAAATCTATAATACCAACATGAAGTGTAAATTATCAAACATTGCTGAAAAGCATAAAATCTCTTCTAAAAATATCTTTGTTGGAACTTAATTTTTACAAAATTGTACAGCTGTAACTGGAACACCTAAAATGTGTTAGGATTTGCCATTCCTAGGATAAGAAAACTATCTTAAAGTCTAATGAAAACCCTTGGCAATTTGAATGTTATATGATACTAAATTATGCTATAATTATTTCAAAGGTCAAGAATCTTAAACATTTAGTCTTAAAACTCTACACTGGGTGATGCAATCATAAAATTAAAGTATGTATGAAAATATTTAATTAAACAAAACAAGTAGAAGTCTACTAATTTAAATACCTTTAAATAAAATGTACAATATTTTCTCACATGGTATTTTTTTCCTCTATTGCATAAAAAGAACTTTTTACAAGAACATTTTTATAATGAACGTGAGCACATACTTTATTTTCCATTGCTTGTTTCAAGAAAGAGGAGGATAAAGTGGTTTGGAATAAAACATTGTATTGCTTATTAACTCCTGGGAAACTCTTTGAAGCTAAAGTACTGGGGTATCACTGTAAATTAACAAGGAAAAAAAAATGACTCAGACACAGTCCAGGCTTTTGGTAATTTGGAGTCTAGTAGAGAAGGAAAATGAACATTGAGTATAGGTGTTAGAATTTTTTTTTTTAATTTTAGTAGAAAGGCAAATCTATACTAATAAGAAGATCCCTGCCTCACTTGCAGCTGTAACACCAACATCCAATATGATATTGTAATGGCCAATAAATTACCCTTTACTCAGAGGACTTTAATAAGGCAAAATATCAGTGGTTAATAGCATAGACTGTGGAGCCAGAATTGTCTGGGTTTAAATCTCAATTCTATCATGTGCCAATTGACTTTGGTGAGTTCATTTAACCTATCTGTTCCTCAGTTTTCTCATGTATAATCAGATAATTACATAAAATTCATAGAATTACAGTGCTTTTGGGAGAATTAAATGAGTTCCTTTGAGCGAAGCAGGTAGAACAATACCTGGTATATACAATGAATCTATGGAACTAACTACATGAATCAACATAGCTTAAAAAGAGAATATGATGGAGCACATGTCTCTTTGCATTCAGGCTTTAGGTAACCCATAGTTAAAGACATATTAAAATATGTCACCAACCCACTGTCTCAACTATGTGGCTAGGACAAGCAACTCCGTATAAGCAACAGACCCATATCCTAGCAGTCTTTTCCAAATTTGGTCAGCAAAACCTTTAGTGTTCTTAATGAAACACTATGAAATGGTTTAATATTGAATTCTGTCATCTGAACCAGAAAAATGCCCCTCTACTTGTCAATATTATTTATGTGCAACACAAATATCATAACCACAAGCACCACTTATATAGGAAAAAAAAAAACATCGCTAAACTGGGCATGGTAGATATTTTTTGAGGTTTTCAGTGAATATTCTTTTACTATTCATTTGATCATTTTGCTGAAAGAACAGGCATAGATGATGAAGACAAGAAAAATGTGAAACAAAAAGAAAACCACAGAACTGAAAACATTTGAGCTATTAAATCTCCCCATTGTTATTTCTTTTTAAAAAATAATTTCTAATCATTTTGATAAGTTTCACAAATTGAGCCTGTTCAGAACTTTCTGTTCTGAAATATAGGACTTCTGAAATCCTGATGCTATCCCTGTTCATCAAAACTCTTTCTGCTGTTGCCTTATTCTATTCTTCAGGTGTTAGATTTCTCCTCAACCAAGTATCCCTCACAGTCTACGCAGCAAAAGATCTGTCCTGAGAATGAAGCAGCTTTGCTGTAGAGAGAGCATCACAGAATCTTGAAATCAAAACTTACTTTGAAGATTTCTAAAGCACACCATTTTATAGGGGGGGGTAAAAAAATAAGCCCCAGAGAAACCCAAGTCTCCCAGCTAGCTGATGGCAGAGCTGAGAATGTTTTCTTTTAAATTTGCCATCTACCAGTTCTGTGCTTGTTCTGTTTGTTCATTTGTTTATCTACGGCACAATGCCAGAAAATAAACTTAACTTCAAAACTGAAAATCAGAAACAACAAAAATTTCAGACCACAACCTTAAATAGCAAAAAAAAAAGCATGAAGACATCTAACTTTGAGAAAATATGAACTTGGACAATGGAATTTACATCAGTCAAAACAAAATAAACCTACAACTGGCTAAATTCTATAGCCTAAGAGTGAAGTTATGGATAGGACATTGTACAATGTATTTAGTTATCTTCATTTTGTTTTATACTCCTTATGCCCCCCAAACCCAATCAAGAACATGTTTTGTGATTAAATCAGGATTACAAGGGACTTCTCTTATTCATATCTTTGTGGTGGGCCAAAAGTGTGTGTGTATGTAAGAGGAGAAAATGAAAAAGGGAAAAGGGAGAAGGGGAGGAAGAGAGATTTCGTTTATATACTATTGATTTTCCTTTTCCTTTATATTTTGCTCATAAAGCTTCATTATTCACACGTGATATTATAAGTAAGAAAATAATGAAAAATTTTATAAAAATTCCATAAGCAATTTCAAGTTGGAGTGATATGTAAATGTTACTATTCTTTACAATAATTAAATATCAAATGGAAAATAAGAGGTTAGGGGCATAATAAGTAAATTCAAATGTATAAAACAAGTAGAATTCAATTGCATTCAATTATTTTACCCAATCACCTAGAAGCAAAGATCCTCTAAAGAAAATTGCATTGCCTTCCCAACTCCTTGGAGAGCCAGTTTAGTTAACAGCCTACCTATGCTTCAGAGATGACCATGCAGCTAACATGTCAAACTCATTTTAAAGTGTCAATCATGTCCCTTTCAATCTAATTAGTTTGGAAAGTAGTGTCACTGACCTGGATCTATGCAGACCATTTATTATCATATCATTTGATCAACCTAACACTTTACCTTAGTTGAGTTTGAGACACCTGTAGCCAAAAAGTAATATCCTTTCTCCCCTTCATTATGGGTAACTCTCAATATGATTTCCTATTTACAACTTAATTTATCTCTATGAATAAGCACAGCCAATTTCAGAGGCATCCATAGAATTTCCATTATTTAAGATTTCATGAAAATTATATATATCAGAAAATAGAATATTTGAGTTGTGATGCTCAAGAATGGCTAAAAAGTAGAAAGATGAAGAGCAGAGGAACAAGGATACTTTGGGAGAAATGTGAGACCTTAGGTATAGAGGGGAGATTATTCTTTTTTAAATATAATACAGCAAGCTATTTATATATTTTAAAAAAATGTCTGTAAGTTATAAACACATTGTCATCACCTGGGTTTGTGTTATAATAACAGTAAGCTTTCTCAGGTTCATAGTAACCTTGACTTTATTTAACCTGGGCAAGGGCAGGATGAGGCAGAATTGAAGAGATAATAACTAGTTCCTATGAGGAGCTAAAGGCAAGGCCGCAGTGAGCTTGGATAGGGCAGGGTATCAGGGTGGTTGGTGGCAGCACTGGTGGCCAGAAGACACTGGTCAGTCAAGCAACAGAGATCACCTAGCCCACCCCTGGCAAGAACATGAAAATTAACAAATCCTTTTCTGGTTTTAGTTTTACATATTTAAGAATCGATTTACAAGACAAAAATACAAGCAGGTAATCTTATCTCTGGACCACAGAATAACATACTACATTAGGAAGAAAAAAAATACTTACACATGTTCATATGTCACTATAATGTTGTATTCATATTTTTAAATGTGGTATAAAAAAAAAAGAATAGCAGTTATATTTAAAGTAATGACTACTCACTTTAGGAGACAATAATCTAAAAGTAGGATGTCAACTACAAATATTTCCTTTCATAGCCGGTGCTCTCCTTTAGGAAAGTTAAGTTGCATTTTACCAAAATCTCTGTTTGTCTGGCAAATGAGCAAGATTCTTCATTTAAGTTTGCTTGATCAAATAATTATTAGTGAAAACTATTTTATACCTGGTCAAATAAAATATGCATATATCTCAAACTTACCTTCAGGTGAAGAGCCTGGCTTTTGGGAAAAGACTGCATTCACTCTACTCTTCTTACTGATATCGCTGTTTACGGACAAGCTGGATTGTATTTTTCTATGCATTTTTTGCGAAACAGGTGCTGAAAGTTTTTGATTTTCTGAAGATACATATTTGTCCCCATGGTGAATTCCATTTCCATTGCTCAGACTTTTGTGGCAGTTCTTTATCTTGCCTATTTCTTCTTCACTCAGTTCCTGGGCTGAAGTTTGAAGCTGAGGCAAGCGCTGAGGTTGGGCTATGTAAAAAAAAAAAAACAGGAAAAGTTTATCTGGTTAAAAAAGAAATTAATATTTGAAAATAATCAAAATACATTCAGTAGCATACTTTTTTTGGATTTCACCCATGATACTAAAAATAAAGAGGAAAGGAAAAGAAAGTAAAATACTAATAAAAATGGACATAATTATAATAAACATGAAATGTAACATAAATAATAACAAATAAACATAGAGAAAGTATACTAAAAAGGAAAATGAGAAAAGGAATCCTCAAAGGCAACTTTACCCAATGGATGTAAAAAGAGAAGAGAAAACAGTGTTTTCTTTTTAAAGAAAATTTAAGTTAGAAATCTAAAAAAATAATTCAATCCTCATTCAACAGTAAAAGTGGATTGTTTTATATGTACCAAGTCCTCTTTTGCTAGAGACACTAAAGTATTCTCTTGCTATCCCTGATAACACTAAACTATTCAATTATCTTTCGAAATAAAAGAAAAAAGATGTCAGGTATCAAGCTAGATAATATTAGAGAAATAGAGTTTTCTTTTTAATTCCATTTAAAACCCTGGAGAAGAAATTTTTCTTTATTTATTCCTTAATTTGATTTTAAAATAAACCATTTATTAACAGTTAGGAATAGAAGAGTATGTTTTTAATCTGATAAAACTTATGTTCCAAAATTAAATGTCGACGTTTTAGACATGCTCCCATTTAGGTCAGAACCAAGAAAAGAATCCCTACTTTTCCCGCTCTGATGGAACATTACACTAGAGGTTCTGGTGAAAGCAATAAGCGCAAAAAAAGAAATAATAGGTCTGAGTCTTTGAAAGAAATAAACAACATTTTTGATATGTGTATATAATCTAAGAAATTATAACTCTTGAAAAACTAAGAATTAAGCAAGAAATATAGATAAGATTAATCACATTAAATCACAACAAAGTTCCTCTATGCCAAGAGGAACCAAATAGCAAATATACAAGAGAAAAATTAACTCTTTACAATAACAGCAATAATCTACACCCCACACCCTAAAAAAAAAAAAAGCCAAGAGAAAAAAAAAATACCTGTAAGTATCTAGAAATTAAGCTACAAAAAATTAGGCACAGATTTTATAACAAAAATTATAAAACTTTATTGAAGGTCATAAAAGAAAGACTTAATAAGTGTAGAGAGTATAAAGGTTAATTCTGATACGTTAATTCTCTCCAATTTACTTATTTAGTATAATTTCCATAAAAATTCCAACAGGCATTTTTATGGAACTTGGCAAGCTAATTCAAAAGTTTATAAGGAAGAGTAATCAAGAATCACTAAGGAAATTTTAAGGAAGAAAAAGAGAATTGTGGGACTTGACTTACTAAATAAAGAGTCTTATTAAAAATGACAGTCAAATATGTGGTGACAGAAATCTAATTATAGGAGATGAACACACAATGCAATATATATATTCCTTATTGTTAAATTGTACATCTGAAAGGTATTGGATTTCATTAATCAATGTCATCATAAAAATTAATTTAAAAAATAAACTAAAATAAATTAAAAAAGAAAAAAAAGAAAAAATTGACAATAACTAAAGCAGCACGGTGCTGGTCCAGATATAGACATATAAACCAATGGAACAGCAGAAAAAGTTCCTAAAATGTATGTGTGTGTGAATGTAAATGCATGTATATCTCATACAAATAAATTCTAAATGTATTAAATGCCTATATATGAAAAGCAAAACTTTTTAGCTTAAAAGAAAAATATGAGGCTATTTTAGTAGCATGACACTAAGGAAGGTCAAACTAATTTGATTCTTTGGATAATGAATCATAAAACAAGCAGGATAACTAGTCATCATCCGTGATGCCCAGCACTTCTGAACACCCTAACAGATTTTTGGTAAGTTCCTCTGTCCCATTCCTAGACCCCTCTGCCGTTAGGAAGCAGGTATGTGACAGAAGTTCTATCAAGCAGAAGTGTGCTTTACATGTAGAAGTGACCAATGCAAGATGGTAGCCACACCAGGGAGGTGGAGCCTCTAAGCTCAGACAGTGAAGAAGGTCTTGGAAGTGGTGTTTTCAATAGAGAAGCCCCATTAAATATATAGGCATGATCCTTGGCTGTGTAACTTTAGGGCTTGTCTCTGTGCTGAAATTAATTTATTTTCTATTTAAATTAACCAAAATGGATTCTGGCTTTTGCAGTAAGAGCCCTAGTTCCTCCCCAAAAGTTATCTGTTTACATAGATTAAGTAATGAGATTATTAAAATCAACATTTACCTTGATTATGTAGCTCCTAAACAAAGTTATCAAATCATAGGTAGCATTTCAGTTAAAAACAAGAGCAACAACAAAAACCGTCCATGGTCAAAATTTATTATTTTATAATTTCTTGGAATTTAAAAAGCTAAAACTACTGTTTTAATTAGTGTTATTTTCCATTTATGATTATGAACAGTTATGAAATGTAAACTAAATCTGAATAGTAAGAACTCTTCAACTTAAAAAAACGTATCGCCTGCAAAGCCATAAGATATATATGGCATTGATAATGTCTAAAAGGGACTGAATATCTGTGACCTGCAGAACAGCTAAGACTGGATATATATTTTTATCAAAGAAGTTTGCATTTGAGTATGCCTTTGGCACACATTGTTGACTTCTGTTCTAGTTCACATATCCTATGTCTCTTGAAGAAAACTATCTTAATGTATCAAAATATTTTACTCATGAATGTACATATTTCAAGAAGACAAATTCATTTTTGATTTAAGAAAAGCATGCTTTCATACCAAGTCTATTAATATTTGTAACTGATTTGTAAAATTAATACATAATTCCTCTTACAGTTTTTTAATCCTTTAGTAATAAAGAATAATTGTCTAAAAATTAAATATTTGGGAATACCACAAATTAATGGTTGTAAAATGTATCAAAATATTTTGTTTTTCTCCTAACTTCTGATGAAAAGGAAAAAAAGAAGAAAGGTTACTTCTCTGTTTAAAAACTATATACACCTTTCTCATAACTAAAATCAGCAATCAAAGCATCTGCAAAAGGAGATCTATTTCTTATGGGTGAGCAGTCATTTGATCTAGAGATTAATTTGCTGCTCCTGAAACTTCTTGTATCAACTAGAATGACATCCTAATGACTGCTATTGAACATAAAGCTAGTTATGCATATTTATTTAAAAGGATGCCAAAGAAGACAGTTAAACCTAATTTGGTGTTCTTTTCAGAGCACTTTCCAGCAATCTCACCAAATAAATTGAATGTGTTGGGCCACTTTTTCTCTAAAAAGAATAATTTAAGCAATCTAAGAGCTTGATTACTTTGAAATGTCACTGACCAATGCTGGGGAGACTCGTCAATCAAAAATGTCCTGTCATAATCCATAAATCAAAACAAATTTAAAATTATTATTTTAAAACTTAAATTAAAAACTACTGTTATAGTTAAACATTCTGAATAAATAAAAGTAAAGATAGTAAAAGACAACTATGTCTTGTCACCAAATTCTAAAACTGACAGATCTGACCTTTTTCTACGATCAAAGTTGACTATTTGCAAATTACTGGGTATGGGCAAAGTGATATTCAAACATATCTTTAATGATTTATCTACATTTCAGTCTTCAAAATGATATCTATTTCTGTTGGCAGATAAATGATTGTACATTTATTTTTGTTTCACTGTTACCTAATTATTTCTACTATCGGTTGCATTATGTTCAGGTAACCAAGTATTATCTCTTCACTCCAGTTTTTTTTTTTTAACATTAAAACTTTCTTAGTTTTATTATTTTTTCATATGCATGCAGCATATGTCAAATAAAAACTGAAGAAAACTTAGAGATATTAGTTATCTCAACAGACATTTATTTTAACTTAATTGATAATTTTTCATGAGTGCGACTTGAATCTTACAGTAAAAAGACAACTAAAACCAAGTTGGAAACATGATTTTATTCTCAAATAAAGAATAAAAACATTTGACTGATTTAACCATAACTACCTGGCTTTAAACAGATTTCTTTTCCTTATTGTGTGTGGCTTTTAAAAAAAAAAAAAAAAAAAAAGCACGCTAATATGGGAACGACACAATGCTCCTTAAAACACAAGTGATGCCTAGGGACCTTCATTCTCCCTTTAATGATCCACTGCTCTCATTCAGCTGTCTTTCTTTTTTCAAATCTTTACATATGTGACAGCTCTCAAAAGTAGACCATAGACCATCTGGCATTTTCAGAGGTGTAACTTGTGCAAATTCAGCTCTATTGGGAGCACACTGCTATCTTCTGCCTTCGTTATAAAGGGACAATAGAATGTAGAACTTACGAGTTGTTTTGAATTATTCATTTTTTTTGCCTGTATATTCAAGAAATTTTACAAACTCTGCATTTTGTACTACATAATCACATGTGTTAAAGGTACAAAGAAACTTTTTGACACCTTTTTTCTACAGAAAGCTGGCATTTTGTTTGATATGTGAACATTCAGGCATCTGTTATATCATTCTAAACAGGATGGGTGCTTCTACAAAAGATTCCATTTTAAACTTACTCTATAAGAGCAAGAAAAAAAAAGTATTCTTGATATTCAGTAACAAATACAATACACATCAAAATTTCAAATACCAGTTATATGAACATTCAGCATCTTTAAACTTAGATAGCATTGGTCACCTGCTTACCATATGTGTAAAGAACTTTAAAAAAAAATCATTACTCACACAAGGCAGCATGATTGCAATTTTAATGAATAGTTACAAATGTCTTAAGAAATACTGTGCTTTCTAAGGTTCAAACGTTTTCAATCAGGAAGGAAACCAACAGAATTAGATGTAGTGATTTTCAATAAAAATAATAAATATGGGAGTAATGAGTCAATAGCATGAACTTCTTCTGATAATTTTTTTAAAACCTGGGTGATATTGTAGCTTAGTAATAACTATACTTAAAACTGTGGCTGCTGCAGCAGCAACATAAAGCAACATTTTGTTATAGCATATAACCTGTTACTATG